TGAGTGTTCTTGACAAGTTTGATCAAATACTACAGCAGAAACGTCAAACTGATTTTACATCACGGACTGGACGAAGTGGTACAGACACATGAAATTCCCCTTTTTGTCAGTGTAAAGAGCTTTAACTACACATGTAATTTAATTAAATACTTTAGGATTAATTTGTAAGAAGAAAATGTGCAAACTTACAGAAAAAGTTCTGCTACAAAGTAGCTTGTTTACTCATTGTTTGAATTTATAATAATTGTGCATGAAAGTGCATTCACATTAGAATCAAACTGTTTTTCTCTGTTTCAGAGCAAACTCAGGATAGCGTCTATAAGTTTGAGCAGACGGCAGGGCTCTCTGACACCGGCTACACTCCCCACAAAGGCCTCACTGCTGAGGAGACGAGACATCACCATCGTGTGCCCGAAACAATCCAGGTCAGACACACGTGTAACCCGTGTGCACCCAAAATGCAGCTGATTATTTCTCACGGTTGTTAAATCAGCCTTGAATTGAATTTTTACTTTATGCCACCAACCTGGTTGATTTCTAACGAGATTGCTCACATAACTGTTTCCACCAATTAAATGTGCAATGTGGAACTGAATCCATAAATTCCCACTGAGAAGAGACCAGTGCTAGTCATCAGCAAATATGCATTAAACCAAAAAATAAAATGCTCCATTCGTGATCATCAGAAGTAAGCTGCTGCACCTGTTGTTACTGGTTTTTAGGCTGTATCATTTAATTCTTGTTTGGCTCACCAGTTCTACTGTTTTAGTGGGAGTTTATTATCAAAGGGCTCCAGCTGTTTTTAGAATGATATTATAATAGACTGCACATAGATAATACCCAGCAGGGAACCGAAAACTAACAAAGGAAGCCAATGTGCGCACACACATGCACAGGAGACCATAATATTTGGAAGAAAATAACAATAAAACTTCTATTTAATTTTTTTTATATAATGCCACATTAAAACAACAGTCACCTCAAGGTGCTTTATATTGTTACAATAACAGAGAGGAAAACCTCAACAATCATATGACCCCTATGAGCAAGCAGTTGGCAACAGTG